CCACCCCCTACCCCCAAATATAATCCACTCTGCAACCCTCATTGCATACTCCTACGATAAAAATAAAATCAGGTCCATTCTGGTGTAATTTCATCTGCCATGATGGAATTGAGTGGGAACTGTTTGAAGCCCTGGACAGAGAAAGAGAAGAATTCAATATAAGAATGTGTTATCAAGGATAGTGGTATGAACAATTGAGATATCCTTGTTATCAGAACCTCCTGAGAAGCCTACAGAATATTTCTCAATTGTTCAGCTAATGAACAGGACGAGGCTACAACATTCATCCGAAGTTCTCATCTGCCATTTGTTGAGACTTCTCCTTAGGATTTTTAATTCCCCTCTGCTTTGAACCTCGTGAGACCCTGAGAAGATAATTAAAAGGCACCCACATATTCTTGAGGTTGCCCTTTGACAAAGTAAAGCAAGTATAAAGTTGTTCAAACCTATCCACAACCATTACAATTAAAATTGAAAGTTTGCTGACAATATGTGATGTGGAGAACCAAAAGCATGTCCTACAATTACGTGGATAAGAAATAAAATGGAAAAGAAAAATTCAGATACTAATACTGAAGATCTTAATCTTAAGGGTACATAACAACAATATTGAAAAGGAAGTTCTGATCGTGGCTAGGAAGTTACTCTACTAATCCAAAAGCACTCAATTCAAATACACGAGCTGTTTTGTAGGAGGAAGGTGAGCATTCTCCTCCTATGTTATTTGTGGCCTTAGAAAAAGCCACTGGGGGTCAGCTGTAAGTTAGTTCTAACTGAAAAGCATTGAGTTTATCTTGCATACAGAAAAAAAAAATCTCAATATGGCAAAGTCCGTTATCAAGCCTAATAACCATTATCCCCTCCTCCTACAAAATGAGACCTCAGGTTCATTTGAAATACCAATGAAGCCAACATAAAAGAAAATTATTATAGGACAACCTCCCTGATGCTAAATATGGTTCTGTATTGAAGATTTAGATGAAAGCGTGCAAGCAGAATGATGTGTGAGACTTCTGGAAAGAGTAGGAATTGCCTTCTCTGCCATTCTCCTTCCTTCTGTCTGAAATGCAGATGCAATAGCTTGACCTTAAGCCATGAACAGTGCCCTCAGATAGCGCTGCAATAAGGTAGATAATGTGTACATTTCTGAAGACGCAGAGTCATGATAAAAGACTGAATTTCATCTCAATATATTTTTTGTTTATTTTTTATTTTATATTAATTTGCATACTAAATTTGTATGCGTTGTGTTTTCATCCATGTACATTATGTTCCATGCATTCCTTCGTTAGCATTGTGTTTCATACAATAACTTATATGCATTGTGTTTTTGGACAATCGGTCACTTTTGTATGTTGTTGTTATTATGTGCCGTAGAGTGTCCTGTGGCTCACAGCAAGCCTATGTACAATAACATAGTGAAGAGGATTTTTGTTTTCTTGATGTTGAGATGCAATCCATATTCAAGGCTGCAGTTTTTAACTTTCTGCAGCAATTGCTTCAAGACTTCCTCACTTTCAGCAAGCATCCACTTAACAAAGGTTATTGATGAACCTTCCCCCAATCCTGATGTCATATTTTTCTATACAGAGTATAACTTCTCTAATAATTTGCTCAGAATACAGGTTAGATAGGTATGGAGGAAATATACAGTTCTGATCCACATCTTTCCTAATTTTAAACCATGCTGTTCCCCTTGCTCTGTTCAACAGCCTCTTATTCTAGGTGTAGGTTTTGCATGAGCACAATTAAGTGTTCTGGGATGCCCATTCTTCTTAATGTTAGCCATAATTTTCTTGTGATCCACATAGTCAAATGTCTTTGCATAGTCCATAAAGCACATATAAACATTCTTCTGGTATTCTTTACTTTCAGCCAGGATCCATCTGCCATCAGCAATGATAGTCCTGGTTTCATGGCCTATTTCTAAATCTAGATTGAACATCTAACAGTTCCCTCTCTATGTACTATTATAGCCATTGTTTAACGATCCTCAGCAGGTGCCACTGGGTGCCTTCAAACCACTGACCTTATTGTTACTAATCGTGAGGTCAAGGGTTTATTGTTCAAAATTACTTACCTAACCCGTTGACTTTGACTTTCTCATGTGGATAGGCAGGAATATACAAATAGGACATGTTAGTCTATCCATAAAGAGATTCACTAGTCTTGCCATTAAATTGAGCACATTTAGCAGAATTTGAGAGTCTCACCACCTGCAAAAAAAAGAAGCAGCAATGCAGTGTGCCCTTCAGGGTTAGAGATTCTTATACCATTCAGACCTACAGGAGAGCAACAGCAACTGCAGCAAAGAACCAGAGATCTGACACAAGACAGATACGACTTTGGGACTGCCACCCTATGGAACCAGAGCTGGGAGCCTCCACCCAAATTTGTTTAAGAACTGGGGGCAAGGGGAGGGGAGAGACGCCGTAATTTGCAGGACTAAAAGCTTTGAAACATGGGCCTAAAGCCATGAGGCTGAATTCTGAAGGACCTGTGAGCACAGTTTGGAAGCTGTCCTGACTGAGAAATTGTTTCCTGTTTCCAACTGAAACTGCATCCCATTAACTTCCCTAATAAACCTCGTAATTATGAGTGCGGCTTATTGTGCTCTAGGAGCTATTGCAATGGATGTCAAGCCCAAGCAAGCTATAAGATTGGTGTTGAAATTAGTAGAAAGAAGTGCAGGAGCATGGGGGACTTGTCTGACCTCATGAGAATTGGTTTTATGCTGAGTCTACTGTTGACAGGGACAGTTCCCCTTTGTAGAGATAATACAAGTCAGACACGGCCATCCCCACTCAGTTCTTGCTCATTTTACAATTGAGAGGATCAGCTGTTTGAACTACATAGCAATGCCTGTTTTGAATCAGCACAAATGGATAAATATTTTATTATCTCTGTTTTTCAACAAGATCAGAAACATACAGGAACATCTGTCTTGCATTAGTACAAATGGATAAACAATGAACTATATTTTCCAACAAGATGGGGAAATATATTACTTGCATTTGCAGTTGTAGTCAAGTATCAGGTGCTTAAAAGATATCAGATGAATTAGATAATTAATGTAATCCAAATACTGAGTCACTGATCTTTTCTTGACACCACATGATCATGATATTTTTTAGTTTCACTAAAAAAAAAATTTCTAAACTTTCAAATGCTCATGTGTCCAAAAAGCTTCAATTTTGAAAGGACAAAAGTAACTTGGCATCTCACTTCATAGAATCTTCTTTTAAATTAAATTATAAGAAATGGCTGTGGTTACAAAACAATTTCAGATTACAATTGCAAAATCAAGTCAATCTAAGAAAAAAATAACAATATCATGACACGCTTCATGACAAATTCCCATCTCTGGTGTTAATTAAATGATAATACAAACCATATCATGCCACGTCTCACTACTCTTTTCTAAATTCTATGCAAACAGACTCAGGCTTCAACTGAAAGGAGGGAAGAATGAAGAATCTTCCATTTCTATTTCTGTTCCTCATCACATTTTCTTCTGTGTGTCCAGGAGGCCAAAGGATGGATAATGAAGAAAGCATGCAACTGGCTCAGGTACTGTCTCAACAAACGTTACTAACAGACCGTCAGTAAAATCCATTTTATCAATTGTTGATGGGTGTGAAAGGACAGCAAATTCATGTAAAGAAGTTTAAAATTTTCTTTTAAGAGATTGTTTTTCCTTTTCTCAGACAAAAGTATATAAAGGAACTCCATAAGAGTTATATGGAGATGGGTTAGAGGTGGAGATGTGAGAAAGAGGATTTTCTACAACTCAAAAAAATGGTTAGAATTGGCAGGCTCTTAGTAAGAAGAAGCAATTGTAAAAAAAAATAGAGATTTCTATAAAAGCATTTTCAACAAATAGAACCAAATTTATTGTTGAAGCTCCTCAGGAGAATGAGCTAGCAATCTGTTCTTATAAATTTGACATTATAGAAAACCTTATGGGACAGTTCCAATCAGTCAAATGTATTGCAACATGTGAAAGTGGATTGGATAGTACCTCTGACATCAGAGGTGCTATCCAATCCCTTCTCATGCATAGTGATCCTGTGTGACAGAATAGAACTGCCCCGTAGGATGTGCATGTTGTCAATAGGGGCCTGTCCTTGGAAAAGGACACCATGCTGGTAAAGATGGAGGGTTAGAGAAAGGCTTAGAGGGTTAGAGGATGGCTTCCAAGGAGACAGATTGATGCAGTGACATCGGTGTTGGAGAGATACTGAGAAAGATAGGATAAATTATGTATGCTGCATTGAAACAGATGAGGGAGAGAACCGCTTAAAAGGGATATATGATTAGGTATTGTTGTCGTGACAGGAGTCGAGAAGGAAGGCTGCATAGTGAAGTGGATTTTAGGGGAGGGATTGTATAACAATGAAAGAATGTTTCTTTTACTTTCAAAGAGAAGAACAAACTAGTGGGGGAAATTGGACAGGGGGGAAAGTGCAACAATGAATGAATGGAAATCCAAAGTCTCTATAAACTTTCATTAAAATTAATTAATTCATTTTGAAGGCGGGGGAAGAATGGGCTCAAGATACTGGAGATAAAATCGAGGTCGTTCTGGTGATGCACTTCATACAGAGTTGCTCTGCCTAACCCATGAGCTGACAGAGTGTCTCTGGCAGTCAGAACCCAACCTACCAGCACCTGAGTGGGAGAAAGGCACTCACTTCCTGTGTGATTTAAAACCTCAAGCAGGGTCACTCTTAGTTGGAGCTGACTCAACATCCTTGAGTTTAAATAACACCACCCTTAAATGAATTGAAAAATACATAGCTTTGGAGATGTCCTCAAAAAATGTGCCCAGTTAATTAGTCCTATCTGGCTATATCAGTTGAATTTCTAAAATGGAAAAAATCACCTATGTCTTCTAGGATTTGTTTCTAGGAAATATTAAAATGAAAGTTAACAGCAAACATGTGTAAAATGCATCATCATTTAGCATACACAAGGTTGATTTTTTTTTTCCTGTGAATGTTGGAGTCTTGTGGGCTGTGTGGTTTGGTTAATTCTGGTCACACACAGTTCAGATAATTCTTGGAAATGGAAAGAACAGAGCACTTTTCTTTTCTTCCTCTTTGCTTGCTTCCTTTCTTTCCTCCCTCACTCCTTCCTATACTTGACTCCATATTTCCTTTAAACCTCACTACTATCAAAGAGGATTCCGCGCAATTTTGTCTTCTCCGAAGGAGACATTCCGCTCCTGTAGTCTATGCCTTTTTTTTGTCTTTTTGGCAGGCATATCTCAACCAGTTCTACTCTCTTGAAATAGAAGGGAGTCATCTCATTCAAAGCAAGAACAGAAGTCTCCTAGCTGGCAAAATCCGTGAAATGCAAGCCTTTTTTGGATTGACAGTGACTGGAAAACTGGACTCGAGCACTCTTGAGATCATGAAGAAGCCCAGATGTGGTGTGCCTGATGTTGGACAGTATGGTTACACTCTTCCAGGGTGGAGAAAACGCAACATCACATACAGGTAATGCTTCTGTCAACTTTAAAAAAAAAAAAAAAAAAAGCTTGTTGCCATCAAGTCAACTCCATCTCTTGAAGACCTCACATGTGTCAAAGGAGCACAGTTCTCCACAGGTCTCCAGTGTCTGATTTTCAGAAGTAGATTATCAGTGCCTCTGGGTGAACTCTAACCTCCAAACTTTTGGTTAGCAACTGAATAGGTTAGCCATTTATATCACCCAAGGACTCTTAAAATAAATCCCGTTTCCTTTGATTGTATCCCCTAGAAGGGCATAAATATAATCTCCAAGGAATAATTATTGCTTTACTGAACATTTCCTTTGTGCAGCACTCAGTGTTATTGTTACCTATTATGTACCTGTGTACTGTGTAGTTGGGATGGACTCATAGCTGATCCTCCAGCAAGTTTTCAGAAGCAGTAAATTACACATTTTCTCTCGAGGAGCAGCTAATGGATTTGAACCATGATCCTTTGGGTTAAAAATGTAGTTCCTCACCATTACACCACCAACGCTCTCAAAGCATTCAATTGTTGTTGTTGCTGCTGCTGTTGTTAGGTGTTGGTGAGTATGACTCATAGTCATAGTGACCCTATGAACAACAGATGTGAATCATCTTGTCCTATTCTGTTCCATCCTCACACTTCCTGACACACTCAAGCCCATTGCTACAGTCACTATGTCAATCCATCTGGTTAAGGGTCTTCCTTCACTATACTTCCATCTTTTGAAGCATGATGTCCTGATGCTCTTCTAGCAATATGCTCAAAGTATGAGGAGAAGTGTAGCATCAGGATTGGTGGAAGATCTATTAACAATCTGTGTTATGCAGATGACACAACCCTGCTCGCTGAAACTGAGGAGGACCTCATGTACTTGCTGCAGAGGGTCAAGGACTGCAGCCTTCAGTATGGACTGAGACTCAATGTCAAGAAGACAAAGATTCTCACCACTGGACCAATTGGTAACATCAGGATGGATGGCGAAGAGATTGAGATCATTCACAGCTTCAGTTTGCTCAGCTCTACAGTCAACATTCTTGGCACCAGCAGCCAAGAAATAAAAAAACGTATTGCGATGGGAAAGTCTGCTGTTAGGGACCCCTCCAAAGTACTGAAGAGCAACGGTGTCTCTCTGGAGACTAAGGTGTGCCTGATACAGGCCATGGTCTTTGCAATCACTTGTTATGCATCAGAGAGTTGGACAATGACTAGGGAGGATAGAAGGAGGATTGACGCCTTGAGCTGTGGTGCTGGAGAAGAGTATTGAATGTACCGTGGACTGCCAAGAAAACAAACAGATTCATCCTAGAGAGGGTTAAACCAGGCTACTCCTTGGAAGCAAGGATTCTAGGCTTCGTCTGACATACTTTGGACATGTTGTAAGGAGGGACTGGTCCTTGGAGAGGGACATCATGCTTGGTAGGGTGGAGGGACAGCGCAGGAGAGGAAGACCCTCTATGAGGTGGATTGATTCAGTGACTGGGGTAATCGGGATGGGTGTGTCAGAGGCAATGCGATTGGCACAGGCTAGAGCAGGATTTAGGGCTGTTGTACATAGGGTCGCTATGAGTCGGAAACGACTCGAGGGCACAAAACAACAACAAACAACATGCAAGATGAAGCTTCGCCATCCTTGTTTCCAAGGGATATTCTGGCTTCACTTTCTCCACAATATATCTGTTCTTTTTTTCACAGTACTCTCCTCCAACACCAGTTCAAAGACATCAATTTTCCTTCAATCATCCTTAATCATTGTCCAGCTCTCAGATACATAGCAAATGATTGAAAAGACCATGGTCTGAATCCAAAACATCTTGGTTTTCAAACTAACATTATCACTTCTTGGTAATTTGGAGAGGTCCCTGACTACAGTTTTTTCTAGTTCAATAGGTCCCCTGATTCTTCCAAACAACTATGCAGCTTTAAGCACAGAAAAATTGTAATATACAATATTTCCTCCAGCCCGAGTCACTCAGCTCTTAGAATGCTCCAGCTCCATTGATAAACTCTAATTTCTAGTCTCTACCTGCCCCTAATAAGTTCAGGATCAGAATTCCACCATCTAGCTTCAGATGCCCAAAGACTTTCTGAGATGGAAGCAGTGACTTTGACCTCAACTCTAGAGACCTAACTGGCCATAGTGAATCGGTCAGAGTTCTTCCTTCATCTTACTAAGACTCAGAAATTGAGGTTAAAAACAAATTTAGGAAGACAGAGAATCTAAAAATAGAGAAATCTCTTACTGAATAATTTAGTAATCATCACGTGAGAATTTTCATGTCAGATATATACACAAGACTTGTTTCAAGAAATGATTTAATAAAATAAACCTCAATTCCTTATCAGACATACTTGTAATACATCCATATACATAACAAATGCGTATGTGAGGCTAGCATTCTCCTACTCAGGGAATCAACTTGAGGTACCCTGATCATGTAGTATACAACACACTGGGCTGTGAACCAAAGTATCAGCAGTTTTAATACATCAGTTGCTCCACTCTATAGCAAATGCCAATAACATGAACTCTTATTGCTTCTTTGAGAGTATACATATGTTCTCTTCTATTAGAGATTCAAAGGTAACTAGAAGGCTGAGTAGTCTTACCTGTGAGGATTCGTGCTCTTAGAAACCTTATGAAGGAGCTGCCATGACTCAGCATTGACAAAAAGACAGTGTGTTTTGGGTTTTGTTTCACTTACAGAGCAATCTTCAAGAAGTCATTTAACTCTTTTGATCCTCATTTATTAACCTAACTACCGGGAAGATTAGAAAACTGAATTCACAGCAAATTAAAAAGTACTTTATAGGGCTATGCAAATGTCAACTAATAATATAGTTCCAATTAACCTAATTTTTTCCCCTTGGCATGTGCAATATGTTTGTCCATAATTATATATTTATGTATTTTTATTGATTTTTAAGAATAATGAACTACACTCCAGATATGACCCGTGCAGATGTAAATGAGGCTATCCAAAAAGCATTAGCCGTATGGAGCAAGGTGACCCCACTAACATTTACCAGGATATCCAAAGGGATTGCAGACATCATGATCGCCTTCAGAACCAAAGGTAAAATTTCTAACAGAAGAAAATGTTTAGTTATATTTCTCCTAGGAGGCAAAGTGACTGATTTTCCTCCCATGAATTGTATCTCAGTCCATGGCTGGTGTCCTCGTTATTTTGATGGCCCCCTGGGAGTGCTCGGGCATGCCTTCCCCCCTGGTCTGGGTCTGGGTGGAGACACACACTTCGATGAAGATGAAAACTGGTCCAAGGATGGTGAAGGTGAGCCTAACTTTCTTTATAAACAAAATTGTGTTACTCTGAAATCCACCAGAAGAACAGTTTTGAATCAATTTCTTTTTCCCTAGAAATTTCTCAGTTTCCCTCCATGCTTTTACATACTCCAAGATGACTATCTTATCTAGCACTGCTGTGGTGATTTTAAAGAACAGAGATTTACTTTTCCAGAGAGAAGTCCAAATTCAGGCAGTTTCATCTGCCTTCATCATCACATGGTCTGTATGTCCTGTGATATAAAGATAATAAAAGTGAGAGGCAGAAGTTAGCTAAAGATTTCACTAACCTTTTATTCACATTGTTGGTGCAAGTTAACCTTAGAACAAGAGAGGCTGGAAGTTCAAACCTGCCTAGCTGCTCCATGTGTAAAGACCTGGTGATCTATTCTCATTAAAAGTGTTGTTTTTCTTGTTATGTGCAGTAGAATCAGAACTGGCTCGTAGCTCACTCTCCAACAGGTTTTCAGAGGAGGTAAATAGCAAGGGAGGAGATTGCCCGTCCTTCTCCAGAGGAGCAGCTGATAGACTTCATCCATGTGCTTTGGGATTGCAGCACAGCTCCTTACTATTAGGACACCAGAGCTCCCTTAAATCATCAAGATTAAAGCCTAGAAAACCCTATAGAACAGTTCTACTCTTTCACATGGACTCTCCTAAGTTAAAAATTATGGAAGTTGGGGGAAACTAAGAGGGGATAAATAATGAATATTACATTGGAACAGATGAAGGAAATAACTATTTAAAAGGAATATTTGTACGTCAATAGTCTAGAATAAAAAGTGCATTGCAAAGTGGACTTGGGGAGTGGTCGGGAAGAGAGGAAATTATGCAACAATGAATGATTTTATTTATTTTAAATGAACTGTGGGAGGCATAGGGAGGAAAATGTGTAACAATGGATGAATGAAAATCTAACTTTTCTGTAATCTTGAGTAAAACAAAATTTAAAATATCAATCCTTAAAAAACAAACAAAGCATGGGGGAGGGGTGGGTAAGGAGGAAAGTGTGCAACAATGTATGAATGGAAATCCAAAGTCACTGTAAAATTCATTAAAATTTAATTTAAAAAATGGGGGGGGGAATTAACACCACCAGACAACAACTACTACTGCAATTAGTGTTACTCATACTGCATTATGGGCTATCTTTTCCCCTTGGCATTAACTACCTCTGAAAAACCACTGAAAGGTCACTAAAAGATTGGTTCTAACTCAATGGTACCCAACAACGAGAAGGAGACAAAGAGGATAGGGTGGGTGCATTATTAAAAACTGAAAAGATTGGTAACCAAGACCTGGGGTTAATAGAAATATAACTATAACATTTGACTAAGTTCAGGGTAGTCAACCAAACAACAGTTCCAGAAAGAGTTTTCTTCGTATTTTTCCCTAAAAGTACAATTTGTGAGTCCTTGGCCACATCCAAATGTACAACTCTTAGTTCATTCAAGACTTTAGGAGGAAAATGTCTCCTTATTCACAAATAAAAATTTAAACCATTAAGCAAACATATTCTTCACTCTGAGCAGAATTTTAAATGATAAATTTGGCAAAATATGCATATTCACCTCCATCATTTAATTGCCAAAGGACTCTTAACAAGGTAATCCGTTTTCTAAGTCTCTGATTTCTAACCTGTAAGTACTACATCTGTAACTACTATTACTGTGTATCACTATTGAGTAAAAACTAATGTATAGCTGTCCCTCTAGTAGATTTTCAGAGGTTGTAAACTACATGGGAGGTGATTGCCCATCTTTCTCCCACAGAGCAGCTGGTAAATTCAAACCTTTTGCCTTTGTGTTGGGCACAACTCCTTGTCCATACAATAAATATAGTAAAAGTCTGATTGTAGGAAATAAAAGAATTACCTCTAGTAAAGAGAAAGAATCTTGAAAAGCACTTTCCCAGGGTGAACTCGGAAAATGATTGACATTGGTTATTATGTTGCTGATACATAGTGATTGTGGTGAAATAACGATGATGATTAGAATTGAAGACATACTAAGCAGAGGGGGGAAAATACTTATGAAAGTCTGAATGTGTAATGTGCAAAAGAAAACAGATTTGCTGTATTTTTCCCCACAGTTTTTGAGAGCCTATAATGTTTCTGCCACAAATCTTTGATAAATAAAGTGATTTCATATCGAACACGTACTCTTATGACCCACATCTGTGATTAAAAATGGATTAAACAATAGTGTCCAAGACACTGAGATTTACAGTCTAGATGACACATAGATAGTCAGATGACAATTAGAAGCCAGTTAAATAATCAGCGCTCGGGTAAAAGGAAGCATGGCCGTGAGATGGGAGTAAAAAGAAGAAATACCAGTCCAGACCTAGAGTTCAGAGGAGGTAAAGGTGCACTCTGATTATGTGAAGGAAGTTTATCTGGGTATTTTATCCAGATAAACATTATCACATCCACTGTCCATGCTCCTGGTCATCTTAGTAGTTACCAGAAAGAAATTATTAAGAAGTTATATCTTTGCTCAAGGGTACACAATTTGGTGAAAGAAACACACAGTGCAGTCTTTTATGGCCTATGATGTATTTAAGCACGGAGTCTACGTGAGTGGAAAAAGTGCATTTAGCTCAGCCCGGTTAGAAGGTAGGGGGAGTAAGGAAACTTCATAAAGGAGGTGATTCTTGGGAAGATTCACAGGGAATAAATGTAGTAGCTGGACAAAGAAGAGGTGAGAGAGGTAGTATTCCAGCCAGAAAGAATGGTGACTAAAAAGACAAAGAGAGTAGAAAGACTATGATACAGATGATCAATTTTAAGTGACTTAACAAGGCTAATGTTCACGGAATATAAAAATGAAATATGATACCCCCATGTTTATCATGGCTTTGTTCACAATAGCAAAGAGTTAGAAACAACCCAAGTGTCCATCAACAAACAAGTGGATAGAGAAGCTGTGGTATATTCACACAATGGAACACGACGCTGCATTGAAAAACAAGGAACTCACGAAATATTATTCAAAATGGGTAAGCCTGGAAGACATTATGCTGAGTGAAGTATCTCAGTCACAAAAGGACAAATACTGCATAGTGCCACTGTTGTAAAACAGGACTGACCTCGGGGTTTGGGGGAGACTGAGAAAGAGGGGATAAATAATATACACTGCATTGAAACAGATGAGGAAGGGAACTGTTTAAAAGGGATATAAAATTAGGTATTATTGTCATGACAATGAAAGAATTTTTCTTTTACTTTTCAAAGAGAAGAGCGACCTGCGAGGGGGGAGGTTGGGCAGGGAGAAAAGTGCAACAATAAATGAATGGAAAACCAAAGTCTCTGTAAACTTACACTAAAATTAAATTTAAAAAAATGAAGTATGAAATTGGTAAAAGGCAGGAACTAAATCATAAAGGGCTATACATTTTATGCTGTTTGGACTTTATCTTACAGCTAGTAAGGAGCCCCTGAAGTAAAGAACATGACCCCATATAGCAGTCTAACAACAAACAAAAAAAGCCAACTTCTATTTTAGAACACTCGTTCAAAGTAAGGACGACAAAACTTTGTCTGACATACTTTGGACATGTTATTAGAAGGGGTCAGTCCCTGGAGGAGAAAATCATGGAAAGGATCAATGAAAAAGAGGAAGACAGCCAATGAGATGGATGTGCACAGTCACTTAACCAAGCACTGCAGAGACTGTGAAGATGGCACATGACGGGGAGATGCTTGGACACTTGGTCTCTATAAACCAGAGCTGACTCCACAGTATCTTTTTTTTTCTTCCTAGTTTCTTTGCTTCACTTTTTGTTTCCCTTGTCTTTTTTAAAACTTTACTTTATACTGATTGACATACAAAGTTCAGAGAGTTCATATTAAGATACCTTGTTCAAACCATTGGCTTATTACTCTGGGTTATATTTATTTCATCATAAGGTGACTAATACCAATTACTAGTCTTAGAGTATTTTTTTTTATTTTATTGTTTTATTTATATTTACATTGTGTTTCTTATGATCTTTTCCATACATTACAACTTATAAAATCAGTCATCATTGATCTATGCCCTCTACTACCTTGTCTTTTCAGGCCCCCACTGGATCTATCCTAATTCTTTCGTCCCCTCTCTCTATCCAGTAAACTCTACAGTCCCATGATTTTCCCACTCCCCACCCTTGGCATCCCTCCTCTTAAATATTTGGAGAGATAGATAGATAGATAGATAGATAGATAGATAGATAGATATAGATATAGATATAGATAGATATATATTTTACTAGTTACATTTTTTAATAGCTACTGTTTTTATAATAATGATCTTATTTGGCATTGGTCCTTATGAGCCCGAGTTAGTTCATTCAGTGTAATGCTCTCTAGCCTCCCCCATGTTATACACCATTTTTTAAAATTGTTGCTATGAGTACGGCAATAAATGTTGGTTTGGAGGGGATGTGGAGAGATTGGAACTCTTATACACTGTTAGTGGGATTGTAAGTGGTACAACTACTCTGGAAGGTAGTTTGGTGTTTCCTCAAAAAGCTGAACACAGAAACCCTATATGACCTAATTATTGCACTGCTAGGAATATACCCCAAGGAAAACAGAACTAAGACACGAACAGAGACTGGTACACCAATATTCATAGCAGTGTTATTTACAATACCGTGACTATGGAAACAGTCCAACAAATGTTCACCAGCAAACAACTGGATTGAAAGATTATGGTAAAGTCAGACAATGGAATACTATGTAGCACTCAGGAGTATTTCCTAAAAAATTAATGATGCATACTTTAAACACATTATGTGCTTTATAATAGGTGCTCTGGTGGTTTAAGGTGTATTGTGCTATTCTTCCAATCCAAATGCCACACATTTTCAGCAGTTCAATTCACTGATTATCAGTGGGAGACAAAATTAGTAGTCTTATCTCCTGAAGATTGACAGGCTCAGAAACACAATGGAGGTTTCACTCTGAGTCTTAAATGACTAAATGTCAGTAAGTTTTTAGTTTTTCCACCTGCCTTTTCTCACCCTTCACCCCACCCTTTCAAGTACATCCCCGACTCCAGTTACTTCTTAATTTAAAATGCAACCATTGTCCATTTGCCTGACTCTTGTGCTTTAAGTTTCTTCATTCTTTTGTTTGTTTAAGGATTCAGCTTGTTTCTTGTGGCTGCCCACGAATTTGGTCATTCACTGGGACTCTCTCACTCCAATGATCAAACAGCATTGATGTTCCCAAATTATGTCTCCCTGGATCCTAACAAGTACCCATTGTCTCAGGATGATATCAGTGGAATTCAGTCCATCTATGGTGAGTTCAATTACGAGTCTGAATACATGTGAACGAAAGAGAAAGCTTTCAAGAAAGGAAATTAAGGAAAATCAGTACTTGAAACTGGGTAAGAAAATAGGTAAAGCCTTTCAGTAAGGTACATCTTCATATATTCTTCATTCACTGTGGTTTTTGGTTGTGTTTTTTTTTTCTTTTTAAATCAATGGAGGTTTGCCTTCAACACCTGCAAAGCCAAAGAAAATCACTCTACCCCATGCCTGTGATCCCAATTTGACCTTTGATGCTATCACCACCTTCCGCAGAGAAGTCATGTTCTTTAAAGGCAGGTAAACCCACTCTTCCTTAAATATCTCAATTTCCTATGAATATTTTTCAGTTTTGAGATATAAAGAGAAAAGGTGGAAGCTAATAGGGTTGCTGAGAATGTGTGTCTTTTATTTTCCATTTTATACCTTCCCATACTGTTTACATAGGGCCTGTGGCCGGTGGGTAAGGAATTGTGCTGCCAACCCAGAGGCAAGTGGTTCACATCCACCTGCTGCTTCTTGGGAGAAAGATGATCAATCTTCCCCCATGCTTTTTGTTGTTGTTGTTAGGTGCCATTGAGTGGAATAAGACTCAGAGCGACCCTATGAACAATAGACCTAAATCCTATCCTATTCTGTGCTATTGTCATCAACTCTGATACACTTGAGTCCATTGCTGCAATCACTGTGTCAATCCAACTCTTTAAGGGTCTTCCTCTCTTTCGCTGCCCCTCCACCTGTCCAAGTATGATGTCCCCCTTCAAAGAGTAGTTTCTTCTAACAACATGCCCAAAGTAAGAGAAACAAAGCTTTGCCATCTTTGCCTCCAAAGAGCACTCTAGCTGCACCTTCTCCAAGACATATCTGTTTGTTGTTTTGACAGTCCATAGGATATCCAGTACTCTTCTCCAACTCCATGACTGAAAGGCATCTATCTTCTTCTAACACCCTACTTCTTTACAGCCTCTCAAAACTCATTAGAGTATCAGCTATGGGTCATTTCCAACTTAACAACAGCACATAACAACAACAAAATATTGTTTAAATGTTTTTCTATGAACCCATATCTCATAATATTTAATAAATTATTTTTAAAAGTTTTTAAGTAATGTTTTTGTAAATTTTCATTGGATTAGAAGTTGAAGTGGAAGTTACTGTGAAACTTTCTTTAATATAGCCATCTTCATGTTATTTTAGACCAAGCCTTTTTTGACTCAAGAGCCCTACCTTAACAGTGTAATTTCATGTGGTCACTGTCACACTCCTAACAGCCACGGCTGAGAAACAACCCATGAAAAAATATTAGCAATGGGTTTGCTGCTTGTGGAGGGAAATGGAATGTAGGACTTTTAAAGTTTGTTCATAGACTCAAAGAATTTTACAGCCAGAAACAAATTGCTGAGGAATTATTTTGGTATCACCCAAGTAATCATATCTTATTTCAGAAATCAGCATCAAAAAATGTTCTATGATGAAAGTAAAATTTCTATAACTTTGAATTTTTCTCCATTGGAGTTCATGAGGTCATTGGGCATGCAGAACTATTTACAATATTTCTGTGAGTTATTTGTTACCCTAAAAAAAAAGAGAGGGAATAAAGGCATCTCCTGACTTTGGAAGTGTAAAGAACAGGACTCAACTCAAAGCCAGTCAGATTTACTGGGGAAGGAAGGCAATAATCTGTAAGTTATTAAGGAAATATCTACTGACTAGATAAAAGACATCCTTATGATTGTAATTCTTTCATCGATATAGATATACATAGAAGCTGTGTATAAAATGTCTTCTGTTTATCACAGATCTCTTTGGAGGATATACCAAGACATCGCTGATGTTGAATTTGAATCAATTGCATCGCTCTGGCCCTCTCTGCCAGTGAATATTCAAGCTGCTTATGAAAATCCCAGGGATAAGATTCTGATTTTTAAAAGTAATTTTGACCATTATGATTCCTCTGTTTACTTGGTATGGCTAAACTGATCAGTGGGTAGTATGATGCACATAACATCATCTTGACCCAGTGGGTATGGAATTGGTTTGCCAACACAAAGACATGTGGTTGGAATTCACCAGCTGCTCCACGAGTGAAAGGTGAGCAATCTCCTGCCATGAGATTTGTGGCCTCCAGAAACCTGTTGAAGGTCAACAGGGGTTTCATTCTGACATGAAGGCAATGATGAGTATCATCCTCACTCATAAAATGAACAAGGCTTCTGCCTCAATCTTAGGTTCCTGACACAAAAACAAACCAATCAAGAGTTCTCTGTGGCTTTGAAGATAAATAAATCCTCACTGCACAAGGATAAAAGAAACCTGTGGCATAAAAACTAAAGATAATGTGCTTTTTTCAACCAAATAATAATCTATTTCTTCATTATGCTCTTTTTCTTGTAGGGCTACCAAATTGGGCAAATAAATACATTGGATAGTTTGAATTTCATATAAAAAAGAAATTATTTTACTAAATTAGACGTGTGCTCATGAAAACTTTTGAAACACTTATACTCTTGAAATTCTTAATTATTTATCCAAAATTTAAAATTAACTGAATACCCAGCATTTAATCTAGCTATTTTACTTTTTACCTAGAATAATCAGGTAATTGCCTTTGAGAACTCTAGGGGATTGAATTTTAGGGAACAGGCCCAAACATACTTGGTAGTTTTCACAAAGTTGTTAACTTAAAAGTAACCAGTGAAATATTAACCAGTTGGCCAGCACACTATTACTACAAGTATATGTTATTTGTATAATTTCTATTTCTTATTATTTGTATAATTTCTATTTCTTTTGTGTAATTCCAAAGAAAGTGGAAGGAACAAACAGGGATGCACAATTATTAGTCTTCAACAATTATAGTTGATAGAAAGCAGGTACTTAGTTATTTTCAAATTTCTTATGACACCAATTTCTCCTTTAAGGAAATAGAAAAGAGAGTAATCACTTTCTCTTCCTAGATGACAGTTTCTGGATGATCAGTGGATATGCTATTTTGCCAGAGTATCCCAAATCTATCTATACCCTTGGCTTTCCAAGATATGTGAGAAAAATTGATGCAGCTGTCTATGACAAAATCACAAGGAAAACCTATTTCTTTGTAGGTATTTGGTGCTGGAGGTAAGTTTATAGGAAATTGACTCTTGAGAAAAATCACCACATGGCATCATAATGACACTGGGGAGAAGGGTGCAACAATGAATGAATGGAATTCCAAAATCTCTGTAGATGTTCATTGAAATGAAAAATAAATAAATAAATTTTTAAAAAAAATGTACCAAACTGAAATCTGGCTTAAAGAACCCAACTATTTTTCTCCAAATTAAAAAACAAAGATAAGATCAAATAAGAAAGCTAGTGATGCCAATCAAATTGCAAATATCACACACACATGCACACAATCACATAACGAGTGAACAAGAGAGATGTAAAATTCTATGAAAACTCCAAGGTGGAATTCCATCTTAACAATTCCTCAGAATCTAGTGCCAATCTAATGAATGATGCATCTTTTATGTGTGATCATTCCTTGTTTTAAGACATTGTAAATGATCCAACCAAACATAATCTTTGCCAATAGGTATATATTTATACTTGTATATATAATATGAATATGTATACATATATGTACCCAGTTAGTTTTTCTCTACTAGATCTACTTGAGACCTCTGGTGACCTAGTGGGTAAGCAGTTGTCCTGCCAACCCAAAGGCATACAGTTTGAATCCACTAATTCCCCCACAGGAGAAAGTTGGACAAACTCCTCCTGTGTAATTTTTCTACCTCTGAAAATCCTCCAGAGGGTAATTTATGCTCCAGTTCTTCTTGAGGGTGCATAAAAGCAACCACAAACCTTCTTCATCTCCACACCTCTATCTTGATTTCAAGCTAGATAGTAGAAGAACTACATTCCCCAAAACAAAGAGCCATCAGAAACTTTTCAAATCTATTTATCCAGGTATGATGAGATGACCCAAACCATGGACAAAGGATATCCAAAGAGGGTAGTAAAATACTTTCCAGGCATAGGCATCCGAGTTGATGCTGCTTTCCAGTATAAAGGTAAGGACCAACCCCTCAACTACTGGAACACTAGGAGACTTTATTAATGAAAGAAAATAGTGCAAACCTTCGAAGCTTCAATTTCAGTTTAATCTGACTACTCTTTTTTTTTTTAGTGTTACAGTTTTACTGAGGTATGATTAAGATGCAATAAATGGGATACATTTTAAAAGCAATCTAATAAATTATAACATAATAAATACACACATCCATGCTTCTTAATTCAGTACCTTAATCAAGTTAATGAACTTGTTCTTTGGCCCTCAAAGTTCCCTCATAATCATCTGTAATCTGTCACTCTGCCCCTTCCAACCACTCCCATCCTTCAGCAACCACTGTTTTACTTGCTGACACAGTAGAGAAGTTAACATTTTTTCAGAATCATACAGATATGAAATTGCTTAGCATGTATTCATTTTTTAAAAAAATATGATAATGTGCCTATGCACTAACTTATTTTATTAAAACCTTTGATTGTTGTTGTTGTTGTTGTTATGTACCTTCAAGTCACCTGTGATCCATAGCAACCCTATGTACAGCAAGCAGCTCAGAACTCTCCCCTCTCCAGAGTCAGTTTCACTAATTCTGACACACCAATCCCATTACCCCATTTACTTTATCAAACCATCTCATCCAGGGTCTTCCTCTCCTGTGCTGTCCCTCCATCCTTCCAAGCATGATGTCCTTCTCCAAGGACCAGTCTTTCCTGGCCACGTGCCCAAAGTTTGTGAGACAGAGCTTGCTTCAAAATCCTAGCCTTCAAGGAGAGACTTGGTTTCACCTTCTCGAAGGCAGACCTATTTATTTTCTTGGAAGTCCATGGTATGTTCAAGACTCTTCTCCAGTACAATTTGAAGGCATGATTACAAATCAGTTATTAAGTGGGGCAGGAGCACCCAATAACCCTTTGGGTAATTATTTTTAGGATTTTCTTTTTTTTCCTAGACAGTGATATATGGGGTTGTCGTTGTTTTTTCATTTTATATTAGTTTGCTCACAAAGTTCATATACTTTGTGTTTCACACTATTCTTCCTTTTTATTGTGTTTCATACAATCATTCCTATGCATTATGTTTCATAAAATCAATTACCATTGGACTTTACCCATCATTATCCAGTCTTTCCAGTCCCTGCTGGATCCTTCCCATTTCCTTCACACCCACCTTCCTCTACCAAATTATGCAACCCTGTGGTTTTGCACCTACCCATCATCACCCCTCTACTCCCACCCCTTTCCTCCCAGAATTCCTATACATGTTTTACTCATTATCCTTCTATTTTTACAATAATGGCCTTATACCTACACTCATTTTTGTGTGACCTTTAAAATTCAAAGTTATTTTGAGATTACTCCATTCATTCCTCTTTGTATAAATATATCATAATTTGTGTATCTATTCATCTTTTGCTGGACATTTGGGTTATTTCCAGTTTTAGGTTGTTACAAATAAAGCTGCCATGCTCTTAAGTACAATAATAAACATTGATCCAGTGAGCATTATAACAAACTGAATCATTAAGTTCTAAATTATATTCTCTCAGTTATACTAATTCAAATTTATATAAAAGGAACTAAAATATTTTTAGTTATCACTTATCCAAGATACCCCAAAAAAGTCACCTCTTACAAAATTCTAAGTCTAAAACATGAATGAGCACATGAACTAAAGAATATATGTGGAAAACTAATTTTTCAGTCCCACTCTCAGGTTTTCTAAGCAGTAGAATTGTAGGTAAGGTCTAAAAATCTGTATTTTTTTAATCATTCATAGGAATTCTAAATCCACACATCCCGGCTACTTTCTCTTCAAGGATACTACTGGCATCTTTAGCCATTTTTCATTATCCATGAGATAATCAAGGATGTAAAAAAAGTTTTTGTTTTGATGAAACAAAATGGAATCTAATAAAACAGATAAGCTGGATAAACAGATAAAGGAAGATGTAGGGTCCAAAACCCAACCCATAGGGCCCTCTTTTTCCTCTCATGGAGGTAATTTTTTGAAACCTAGTTTGAGAATCTCCAACACAGTCTTTATAGAAAGGTTTGAAGTTCCTACAGTGTATTTGTACACCTTGGCTTTCTCTTCAGGGAAATAAAAATAATGGATGAATGTGTGCCTTAAGCATTGTGCTATCTTAAAAATTATCTAAATAAGATCAAGTTTACAACAGCAACTCAAAATATTTGAAAGGAAACCCAGGGGGTTGTGAGGTAATGTTAACGAGGTAGGGGAAAGGGGAGTGAGAATGCTGCATAAGTCAAACAGAATTACCATTACTAAATCATGCATGTGGGGATTGATGGATATGTGATGCTGTGTATATTTTCTACAACAAAAAATAATAAAGAAAAAATAAATTCTTGAAAACCCACCAAACCCCTGGAGCAGGTCTGCCCTGCACCCATAGGGTCACTATGAAGCAGGACTGATTAAATAGTGATTGATTCCATTGACTAAACAGATTACTCACATACTGGCTAACCTGTAAAGGTGCCTCGGAAAGTTTTAAAATAAAATATCTTGATTACTCAAAAAATAAAATAATGATAATATTAGTAAAATAGTAAGATTTCCCACATGACAATAGTACTGTAAAATATATGTAAATCATGTCATTGATTTTTTGCTTTTCATAATGTTCAATTATTTTATTCTTCATAAAATAAAAAAACGCAGCTATCAGCTATTGTATAATTGTGCAAGAAAACTAATCATGACTCTCTCTCTTTTTAGGATTCTTCTATTTTTCCCATGGATCAAAGCAATTTGAATATGACCCTAAAGCAAAGAATGTTACCCGAGTGATGAAAACTAATACTTGGTTTCATTGCAAAGAGCCATTAAGTTCATCCTTCAATCTTGGAGTCAATAAGGAAATAATACATTCAGAAGGTGTAGATGTTTCTTATCATAAGAATTTAAAATTGCTTTCTATCACCATTGTTCAATTCCTGAAAACAATATATGCTTACAAATAAATTAGTACATCTGAAATAAATATCAAGAGGCTTCTGATATAAACTCTGCTTCAAAATAGAATTTTCTTTAACCTTCAGTTTCCTGTCCTCATTCTAGGTAATTATAGGATAAAGATTTATGACTGCCTGTGTCTAACCAAATGTTTCTCAGTGTGTTAAGTTTGTTTCATGCCTTTATAGTCTTGAAGAAATAATACTATACCTTATAATCAGTAAAGAGGAAAGATATATTAAAACCAGTTTTTAGCACTCTATTTTACCAACTGATGCTGATTTTGATGACGTGATAGATGGAACGGCTTGCTATAGAAAAAGCACAATCTCACTACCTCCTGAAAACTTCACTGCCTCCTGCCACCAGTTTCCATGTACATTTTTCTTTTTTAATTTTTTTCAATAGTTTATTTACAAAATTCTAATACAAATTCAAGTTCTTTCCGTTTTCCTCACTCCCCCCCATTGAATTGTACAACCCAATGATTAATCCCCTCTTCTGCCTATACATCCATATCCCTCTTCTTTCAGCCTCTCCCACCCCTCCTGGATACTTATACTCATTCTACAATAACAGTCTTATACAATATTTATCCTTGTGGGACTGAGATAGTTCACTCAGCATAATGCTCGTCAGTCCTTTTCAAGTTAGATAATAATTTACAAAGTTACTGCTCCTGCATGCTGCATAGTATTCCATTGTGTGAATGTACCAAAATTTCTCAATCCATTAATTTGTGGTTGGACATTTGGGCTGTTTCCATGTTCTTGCAAT